GGAGCTACGGAGACACACGTGTGCCATGCTGCTCCTTGGATCTAGCTGGCATGGAAGGAGCCCAGTGCTTCACTGTTCAACTGCTTAGCAGGCTCCAAGGTCCCCAGACCCCGACCAGGAGCTGTGCAAACAGCTGGAATGCAGGGAAAGGTTTTTAGATTAAGCAGAAAAGAACTCACCAAACCAGGGGGATTTAGTGAAAGAATGTTTCCTGTGCTCCCAGATTATTCTATCTGAACATGCTTATAATTTATATAGAGTGGTAACTTCCCTTACCTATCCTCTTCAGGCGTATTTTTTAAGTAAGAGGAACATTTTTACTCCCTCAACTAAAGAACTGTCCCCACCTCTTCTTTGAGGGCAGGGATTTTAACTTTTTTTTTTTTATCTCCAGCTGCTAGCACAGTCCTGGTACGTGTTCATGAGGATGCTAATCAGTTGTTTCAGTCGTATCTGACTCTCTGACCTCATCTGGAATTTTCTTGGCCGAGATACTGGAGAGGTTTTCCACTCCAACTCATGTTGCAGATGAGGAAACTGAGGCAAATAGGGTGAAGTGACTTGCCCAGGGTCACATAGCCAGTAAGTGTCTGACGCCAGATTTGAACTAAGATGAGTCTTCCTGACTTGAAGCCCAGTACTCTGTATAATGTGGTGCCACCTAGCTGCCCACCTGGCACACAGGTGTTTTAATAAATGCTTTGTTGAATGAATGAATGAATGAATGAGCGAGTGGATAGAATATAGGGTGCTCTCTAGGGACTGGAGAGAATAGAAACTCTTTGAGGACAGGAACTATTTCATTTTAAAATTTTTTAGTCTGTTTATCCCTACTACCTGGCACACAGTAGATGCACAACAAATGCTTTGCTGAACGAATGAATGAGGGTCTGGACACAACATAAACTCCATGAAGAGAGAGTGATTTCACTTTTTTGTCTTTGTACTCCCAGTGCCTGGCACACAGCAGGTCCTTAACAAATGTTTTGTTGAATAAATGAATGAATGAGGATCTAGATAGAATATATGCTTCAAGGAATGAGATGAATGAATGAATGAATAAATGATGCCCTCGACAGAACATTAGCTTCTCAAGGACAGGAAGTCATTCCTTTTTTGTCATGGTATCCCCAGGGCCTCACACGGTGCCTTGAACCTCCTACTCTGACAGGTCTTTGATCACTCCCCTGTCAGGAGGCAGGTCACCCGCACCAGCAAAGCTGGGAGCGCTCGTCTGCCTCCTGTCTGAGCGTGCCACAGGGCCCCACCCCATGAGCCGGGTCCACTCCCTCAGATATTCTGGGTTTCACATGCATTACCTATGGAGGGAGCCTGGGGTCCTACACATCTTTGCCATCCTTTACATGACTTTTCTGGAGTAATTCTGGAAAACGTGTCCTTGCCTGCTTACCTGCTCCTCACACACCTTACTTATACATAGTAGGTGTTTAATCAACATTCATAGGAAAAAAACAACCACCACCAAGCAGTCAATTAAGTTAAATATTCTGCAGTTTTCAAAGTCTGTTATTCCAAAATTGGCTTCCTTCTCACAAAACATACTCCCTCCTCCAAAATTAGAATGTTTGAAAAAGAATGTGCGTAGATGGATAGCAAACCTACTCACAATCTCTCTGGGCCTCAGTTTCTTCATCTGTCAAATGAGGGGTTGGACTTGATGGTTTCTAAGACCTCTAAGATCAGGGTTTTTCACCTTCCTTGTGCCACGGCTCTCTTCTGGTGAAGCTTATGGATGGACCCCTTCCCCAGAATGTTTTTAAAGGCGTAAAATAAAATGCATTGTATTCCAAAGGAAACCAATTCTATAGAAACACAGCTGTCCAACCATCCAAAGAAAGGAGTCTCAGGTTAAGAACATTGCTCGGATCTGTGATTCTCTTCAAATGTGTTTGATGAGGATTTGTCCCCCAGATCACATCTGCCTTGGATACTGCTGATGTGGGTAAGACTAGAGGACTGAGTGAATCGGCAGCCCAGAAGCTGCTCTCTCCCGTGTGCTCACGGAACAAGGTGTGCCCTTGGCAGCTCTGCCGTGGCGGTCCTTAATGAACTGGCGAGGCTTTCAGTGAGGCCTCAGTCCTGGACTGTCTGTCCCTCTGGCCTGCCGAGATAAGTACTGAGCTCGTGCTAGGAGCCTCGTCCCCAGCTGAACGTGGGGGCACGAGAGACACCTAACATGTCCCCTAAGGTAAGTTCTACACAGAGGAGGGTCTTTTAAACTGCATGGGAAGAAATGTGGCTTTGTCTGTTTTCTCCACATTGGTGTTTAGTTGAGGGGCTGTGTGCGCCTCTGCCTCCCGGTTGGCCCGATAAAGGCCCAAAGTCTGAGGTCATTCTGGCCACCTCTTTTCTTTGCTCTTTGTGTGGCTTTACAGCAGCTAGGCACATGGTACCAGCATCCTCCTGGAAGGAAGGGCGGGTCGAGCAAGTAATGAGGAAGCCACACCTAGGCAAGCTTTCCAAATGCGTCCTTGGTGAAGGCTGTGGCAGCTAGAGATTAGATGAGAAAATGAGTGTGAGGAACTTACATGAACAGATGCCACTTGGACTCAATTTGTTGAGGCCTAACGCAAACACCTATCTGCTGCCATTGAAACGTACGAGTTAAGTACAAAGTACTGCAGCTGGTCAGTGCAGTGGACAGCGTGCTGGACATGGGCTGAAAGACCTGACTCCAAATCTGGCCTCAGGCACTTACTAGCCGTAGGACCCTAGGCACGTCACTTAGCCTCTGCCTCAGTTTCCTCAACTGTAAAACAGAGATCATAGTGGTACCCACCTCACAGGGTTATATTTTTTACTACTACTTCTCCTCCTCAAGCCTGTTTCCTTATGTGTAAAATGTGGAGGCCTGTCCTAAAGGCGAAGACCCTTCTAGACCTACCTCCTGTGATTGAGGCTGCCCTAGAGAGTCAGAAAAAATGGAGTCTTGGGGCAAAAACCTGCAGAAGGCATGTAGTGAAGGCTGGGGCCATCACAGGTCCACTGCCCCGATGTGAATGAATGTTGAGTCACCTTTGGGACATTGAGGCCTGGCTGTGGTTGGACCCAACTCGTGCTTGGGGATGAAAGCGGGCTTCCGGCTGACTGTTCCCACTGGACCGATCCCAGGCCCTGGCTACACCCACTCCACATTCCTGGCCCTGACCCAGAAAGGCTGTGGCCACTCTGCCCTGGCTGGTGCCAGGTCTCCCTCGGCCTGTGAAAATTAAACACCGATGCTGTAGTTGATATTTTTATTTCACTCTGCGACTGAATTCTGTAACCTTATTCTGTACTTTTATAATAGCCTGAGCCTTTTCTTTGTCCCTGAGTGAAGCAGCTCGTGAGTCCCAAAATTCAGCCTTCCTCTCTCTCGGTTAGATGCCAAAGTTTATTGTCCCTATCGATCACCTTTAATCGAAGAAACAACCGAGCCAAGTTCTAAGGTTCGACACTCTCATAAAAAACTCCAATTCTAAGGGAACCTGACCTGTAAATCATGTTGTGCCAAGGAAGTTTCAGCTCCTGAGAAACTCCATGCCATCCATACGTCATCCTCTGCTTCTTCTTGCCCAATTAAGGGTGGTCTTCTCTCATTCCCAGGAGCAAGCGAGTCCACATCGCTGCTCCATTATCGACAGCCTCAGGACACAGCTGGGCCCTTAAAGCCACAAAACATTCCTCTAAGGGGGGGGGGCATCCAGATCCCACACGCTCTCCTTAATGTCACCAGTCCTGCTGCCCTTCCCCCAACGATGCTGCCCACCTTATATCCAATCGTTTTACTTCTCCACCTGCCCCGTGCTCTTCTCTGTTCTACGCTTTTAAATTGAGTGGCATCGCTAATTCCTGGTCTTTGGCTAAACTGAGGCAAGCCACTGACCCCTTCTGTTGGCAGGCAGTGCCCCTGTTAATAAAATGTGATCTTCCTTGATGCGGAGAAGCTCGAGGCAGGAGGAAGAGAAGAGGCAGCGGCTGGGGGGCCAGGCCAAGAAACAGGGGAAGGACAGGGAAGATGGCCCCAAGCACCACTGGACTGAAACCCCCTAGATGCTGATGGGACGTTTCCTTCCCTAGCCACGCTTAAAACATACACACACGTTTTGCAAACAATATGCCTTTTCTTTAAAAAATGGTTTTGATTTTAATTTTTTCCTAGAGTACAGGTTTGAATGAAATATATTCATTCGATAAATAGAATAGCAGCAATACCTTCCCAGTCACGTCTACATGGGATTGGCACCAGAAACAGTGTCAGCCAGCAGGGCACCCCACGCTCTGAGTCAGCGGCTTGAGAAGAGGCCTGCGGGCTGCACCAGACTGTTTCCTGGGCACCCGTGCATCCCGGTTTCTCATATGCCCTCTGGGGTCAGGTTCCTCCAGAGGCCCATGACCCACCCTTGGAAGGCAAAGCTCATGGGTCTCATCTAAATGTTGCGGGTCCTTCTTTGTTCTTGCCTGGTGGCCATTTCAGGGACCACCTCACCGCTCTGGCCAAGAGAACTCTGCTAGTGATGCCCACCTCTCACCCCTGGCAGGCCCCTCTTTCAGGGGCTCCTGGGCAGACACTCTCACCCCTGTCCACAGCTACCTAGCCTCAGTCCCTTGGCCTCTAGGTAGCTGGTGGTCCCTAGGTAGCTCTCACCCACTCTGTGTGAGCCATTGGCGCCCCAGAGCCTGGCGGTGGACACGGACAGGCGAGTCTGGGCCCCAGAGAAAGCTGCTTTGAATGCTCACACAACAGCTAAAGTTAGACCACGACCCTTAGGGCACGACCCTTCTGTTCGGGGGGAACCTCTGGAGTGATTCTGTGATGTGCTATCATACTCAAGGAAGCTGAGGGGCAAGCCCTGACCTTTGAGGTGCGGGAGAAGCCCGGAGCCATCTGGATGGAATCTACCACAATCTGATTCGCTCAGTGTCCCTGGGACCGGAGGCTCTGAATGGCTCAGACATGGCCCTGGAAGGCTGCCGCGCTCTCCCTGCTGCCTGCCCTCCTCTCCTGGCTGTGGAAATAAGGACACAGGCTTCTCTAAGGGCTCTGCCCACTCTCATTCAGTCTGTTTTGGCCACTGGCTGGAAAGAAATAAAAAGCTGCATTTATATATAAAAAAGCAAGGTGGGGTGGGGGCGGGTCCTGGCTCTCCCTCTTCCGGGCAGCCTCATTTGTGCGGGAAGGCCATTGTCGGCAGCGGCGGTGTACACGGCCCCGCTCAGCCCACACTCCTCGGCTCCCACGGGGTCTCCTAACTCCTCCTCCTCCGAGTCGTCCTCGTCCTCCTCCTCCGGGACCGACGAGCCGGAGGCCGGGCCTTTGCAGATCTTCAGGTGGCGTGTGAGGTGGTATTTGGTCAGGTAAGCCTTGGAACACTTTTCACAGACGTAATCGCGCTTTCCTTCGTGGGAGTTGAGATGCTTCTTCAAGTGATTCGTCCTCAGGAACAGCTTCTCGCACTTGGGACACTTAATCTGCCGCTCTCTGGGGAGCACAAAGAGAAAGACTGCTTTTGGAGGCGACCTCAGGCCAGCCCCGACCCCTGCTCCTCCACACACCTCCCCCCCGAAGTGTGGCAGAACCGGCAGAACCCTGTGCCTGGAGGAGAGACCCGGGCTAGTGTCCCACCCCGCTGATGGACCGCGACTGTGGGCCGGTCACTGCCCACCTTAGCAGGGCCATGGGGAGGGAAGTACTCTCATAAATGGGAGAGAGACTCCAGGGTTGAAGGGCAGCTCTCGCCTGACGTACGTACTGTGTGTGTGTGAGCACGTGCTGCTTGAGGTCCTGCCGCCGCATGAAGAGCTTGTCACAGTAATCACACTTCAGGTTCTTCTCGCCGGTGTGGATGACCATGTGTGACTCCAGGTGAGCCTTCTGGGTGAAGGACTTGTCACACAGTGCACACCGGTAGTTCTTCTGGCCTGGACGGTGGAGGCACAAAGGACGAGCTCGTGAGCCTCCCCTGCCGGAGTCCCCGGGGGTCGGGGGCCCTCCACCCCAGGGCCTCCGCTCCTCACCTGTGTGGATCTTCAGGTGCGTGCGCAGGTTGCTGGGGTCGCTGAAAGCCTTGCTGCAGAAGTCACACTTGTGGGGCTTCATCCCCATGTGGCCCATGAAATGCACGTGGAGCTTGGACGGCGAGATGAACGCCTGCGGACACATGGAGCACTTCCACTTCCTCTCCTTGCCGTGGCTAGGCCCGTGGCCACCGCTGTGGCTCTGGCTCGGCAGGTGGTGGTGGATGTGGCTGCTCAGGTGGGCTTTGAATTCCGTGTAGGAGCTGCACTCCTTGCCGCAGTTACAAACGTGCACATCCGGGTGCTCAGGAACACCTGCAGGCAAGACCACTGTTAGGCCCCGTCCGTGCCCTGGCACATCACAGGCGACCGACTGCCGCTGGCCGCTCTGGCTGCGACCAGAGACCAGCCCCAGCTTGCCTCAGGTGCTCAGAGGGCAGGGGACGGAAGGCGCGACTCTCACAGGCAGGAAACAGGGCCTCACTGCAACGCCCTGCTGCTGGCGTGGGAGTCTCTCCTGTGTCGGCCACGACCGACTTGTTAGCCAGAGCAAGTCAAAACGAGGCTAAGCACGAAGAGGCTGTGGTGTGAGAGCCCCCCCACGCCCCCTAGACAAGGGGCCCTCGGGAAGGGCCCAGAGGCGCAGGGCACAGCTCTGGGCACAATCAGGCGCCAACAGCGGCCCCTGCCCTTGGCTGGACCAGAACCTCAGAGCAGATGCCGTGGGCCTCACACAGGGCACAGGGTCAGAGGGAGGACTAGTCCTCAGGGCCAGGGACCACAAAACATCTGCACAGGGTTCGAGGCCACTATGGGTAGAGGGCCTGGAGTCTTAAGAACTGGGCTCCTCGGGGGCCTGTGCGCACCATCACCTCCACAGGCCTCGTCCCCTCTTCTGTGAAACATGGGGCAGAACTCAATGGCCTCTGTGGCCCTCCCGCTGCCCATCCACGGTCCCGTGAAGGTCACCACAGTGGACGATGTGGGGTGTGACTGTGGAATCCCACATGGACATTTGGGAATGAACCTCCAGGATCTCCCTGCCACTGTCTCCCAGAAGAGGAGGGGAGAAGGCTCCACCTTGACCAGGGGTGTGGAACCTGCGGCCCTCTAGGCCCTTAAGCGCAGCCCTTCGAACCCAAACTTCAGAGAACAAAGCACCTTAATACAAGGATTTGTTCTGTAAAAACTGGACTCCGTCAAAAGACCTAGAAGGCCACAGGCTCCCCACTCCTGGCCTTGACCTCTTCTTCCATCTGAGAATCTCAATGGTTTGGAGCACCCAGCACCCCACTCCAGCCGAGGCTGGGCCAGGGAGGGACATCCTCCTCACGTGGAAGGAGACTGAGGCCTCTCGGGCGGCCACAAAGGGCACACATTAGTATCTGCGACAAGGCTTCTTTCCGCTTCTCCCCTTCTTTGCACTCATGACCTGTGAAAGAAGGAATCGTAGCACCAGCTTACCGATCTGCTGGGCGTAGTCCCGGCTGTAATAGAAAAGCAGTTCATTTTCCGGAGGGATCTCCTGGGAGGTGCAGAAGTAGATTTTTCCGTCGTGAGGGTAAGCGACCAGATTCTGTTCCTCCCGGTTTCTGTAACACCACACATTTGAGAACCGGTCAGGCTCGGGCTGTGGCAACGTCAAAAGCACACGCAACCAGCCAACACCCCAAGGCCGCTCCTGCGGCTTCTCCACAATCACTGAAGGCACGTGCTTACCTCCAGATACGCCTCCCCTCGGGACACCAGCTCCCTGATCATGAGAAGGGGGGGCGCTAACGAGAAATAACCCTCCAAAAAAGAGAGGGTACCTGGTGTTCCTCCCTGACCCCAACCTGTGCTCCAGGTAAGATGCTCAGTGTCTGAACTGGCACAAGTAAAATCAGCCAAAAGAATACCGGGCTGGGCTGGGGAACTCACTTGTCTCCCCGTGCCACATGACTCAAAGCACTACATCAACACCTGAGATAGCAGCAGGTTGTTACATGGGAGAAAGAGAAAGGAAAGGAACGTCGTATGACTCAGGGCTAAGAACAGGCCTGAGCCTCTGCTGAAGTGTAGAGCTGGACACAGTGAGGAAGAAGTCCTCCAAGGAGGACAGACACAATACACCGGGCACAGAAGTTATCGGCGCAGATCAGCAGGGAAGGGGCAAAGAGGAGGAGAAAGTGGGGATTCCCTGCTCAGGGGAACAGAAGCTGCTCAGTCAGCTGTTATGACAGATGGCACAACTGATGGCTTCTGGGGCCAGGTACCCACAACTTAGCCAAGCAGATGGCAGTGCCCTCCCGCCGGCAATCTGCCTGGACATAGATGAGACCGACACAAGGTTGCCAACATCTGTGAAGCGCTGGACAAGAGACTGATGATCTCAAGGGCACAGGCTGTGTTTTCTATGCCTGCTGCCCACTGCGGGCAAAAGATACAGAAGAGAAAAATACATTTGGAGACTGGACGCTGGCTGAGGTGAGTGTCTGAGAACTACGATTTGGACTCCTGAAACCCAGTTTAAAACAGAGGGATGACAGATGCCTGGCCAGAGAAGAAGCACCCCCAAACAAGCCTGCTAAGAATGTATGTGCAGGTGCCTTGCACATCTAATCAAAAAGGACTTCCAACTACAAGGGATCAGGGAAGAAGATGACTTATGCACACTTCTCAAGTTAGATACCAGCAAGTCAACAAACATTAAGTGCCCACCCTGTGCCAGGCAGTGCTCTAAGCACCGGAGATACAAAAAGAGGCAGAAGATAGTCCCTGCCTCCAAGGAGCTTATACTCTGATGGCTACAAAGATAGAAAAAGAATAGGAGTTGACACCCCAAAACTTCAAAATCAAGTAAAGGAGCCAGTTGTAAAATGGGATAAACGAAAGGGGAAGGGGAAGGCGACTCGTGTGACTGCATGAGAAAATCCAGAACCCAGAGGGGAAGCAGGATGGAAAGCATTTGGGTGAAGGTCATGGAGTCATGAAAAGAAGAGTCACTAGAGGGGAGGAAGGAGGAGTTTGTGAAAGAATGAAGGACACTTACTAAGTGCTAGGCCCAGTGGAGTCAAAGAGAAAAGTCAGACAGTCCCTGCCCTCAGGGAGCTCACCTTCTAAGGGGGAAACAACTCAGATGGGAAGCAAGGCCGGGCAGCAGATGACCACGAGAGCAATGTGCTGCAAGAACAGGGATGCCAGAGCTCAGAATGAGTGGAGGTGGACAGAGGAGCCACAATAAAAAGAGAGGGTTTGACCAAAACAGAAGAGAAATGAGTCCAAGGAGTGAAGGGCAGACTGGGGCCTTCCCTGGGGCTGAGTGGAACAAAGCTGCCTGGGGGAGGTGGAGCTGTTGCCCTGGGAATGGGAGGACCAAAGGACCCGACAGGGAGGGGCCGCCATGCAGAGGCCTGGGCCCAGCTCCGGAAGAAGCATGAACCCATGGCATGAAAGATCATGGAAAAGGTGGCAGACAGCACAAGCCTGGAGAGGCAAACATCTGGATTTTCAAAAAAGTCAGATAACAAGCCAGTGAGCCTGCTGACTGATACCTGGGAAAATCCCAGAATGGCTCACTGGAGAGACAGGAGCAGGGCCTCCCCAAAACTGGCCCAACAGCCCCAGGAAGGGATCTGCCAGGTTGTCCTCAGTGCTTTTTTCTGACAAGACTGGCCCAGAGCAGACGAGGGGAATGCTCCAGATATGGGACACACGGACTCTGGCAAAGCTTTAACTTAGCATCTAGGGACAGAGACGGATTAGAGGATAACACAATTTAAATGCCTTGAGAAGTCGTCAAGCAGAAATGGTGGACGGTAAATGACCAAGGTCTCCAGTGGAGTGCTCCAGGGGTCAGCTTCCACCCTGGTCTGGTTAACAGTTTTATCAATGACTTAGAGAAAGGCTAAAGAACCACTACAGTGGGTGATACGGCATCCAAAAAGGTCCTAAAAAGCCACAGCACTGGGATAAACTGAATAAGATGAAATTAAATAGTGAGAAATGTAAAGTCTTGTACTCAAGTTGGAAAAACCCAGCTTTACACGTACAAGATGCTTAGAGAAGAGTTCTGAAAAAGATCTGAGGGTGTTAGTGGACCACTAATGAGTTGGCAGTCAACTATAGAGGCCAAAAAGCCCAGGCAATTCTGGGCTGCATTAGGAGGGGCCCAGCTGCCAGGAAGAGGGAGTGATGACTGTCAGTACTGTGTTCTCATCATGCTCATCTGGAGAACTGGGCCGAGGTCTGGCCACCAGCATAACAACATGAATGGGCGAGCGGGTGTCCAGAGGAGGGCAACTAACATAGTGAAGGGCCTTGAGTCTACATCACATGACAGTCAGCTGAGGGAACTGGGCAGGTCTGGGGTCAAGAGAAGACTCCAGGGGAGGGGACATGGGAGCTGTCCAGGAAGAGGGATCACACCTGTTCTTTCTGACCTGAGGGTAGAAGCAGAAGCAATGGGTATGAGTTGAAGATGCTACACCCCCAGGAGCCTTCCAGCAGAGAAGGGATGGCAGGGCAGGGGGAGGGGTCCCTGCCTACTCTCTCAACTCTGAGATTCCGTAACATCTCCACTTATGAAACATACTCTATGATAACTAGGGTTTTCCTTACTAACTGGATAAATTAAGATACAGTGTTCTCAACTCAAGGGAATTATGTTAACAGTGAATTTAAGCAGCCCCTCGCACTAAGATCTGGGGAAAGTTAGTATTATGCTGTATCATATTCATCTGAAATCCATCCTGACAAGAGGGGATGTTTTGTCAGACTCCACTTCTCAGTCTAGATCTGGTTATACCCAAAGGGTATAACCAGAGCAATGTCATCACTTCGGTCCCCCCAAGGCACCTGCTTGTTAACCAGCTGGGGCTGGACCTCTCCCACGTGGGACTCCTGCTTCTGTTTGCCAGAAAACACGGAAGCCAGCTGGGCCTGGGCCGCTCCCCAGGGACCTATTCTCTTGTTCTTCCGCCTCCTTGCTGAAACGAGGGGTAACTTAATCTCCACAAGGAAGACAAAACCAGGGGGATCCCATTTGGGATGATCTTGATTTTCTGGCCAAGATTACTATGGGAAGTCGATGCCCATTAAACAATTAGCATTCCTTAACTGCCAGCGAGGGGTGTGAGCATCCGCACCTGAAGGCCAACCCACCTACCAACTGGGGTTGTCTTACCTTTGCCGGGGAGAGGTCTCAATGAGGTACTGTCAGGCCAATAAGATACACCTAGGTTTAAAAGACCCTGTAGGCCCTCACTTGGGGTCTCTGGTCATTCAGGGAGGCCACTGACCCAGAGTACTGGTTACTGCTAGCCTAACCAATAAATTGCTCACGCCCTGGCTTTTTGCTAAGGTGCCAGTGAGTCTGTTTCACTAACGGTATACGAGACACTTTTAATAAAATGCTATCTTGCCCTGGAGAAAACTGCCTCAGAATCATTTTCACTTGCTATACATCTTACGGTCAGTTTAAAAAACCTTAAAGGTAGCTCCTTTTTCTGGAAGTACGTGTGAACCTAGATTTTCCTGTGGATTTACCCTAAACCTACTAAATTCAGAAAGCATAGTGGAGGAGGAGGAAAAACCCTGCAGTTGGACTCGGGAGGCACGGGCTTGTCACCTCCCCTCAAATCCTCTGTCTCCTCATCTGAGAAATGGGGATGATATGCAGGCCTCAGAGTGGGGTGGAAAGAACATTCAGGATGGCACCAGTGCTCCTCACACCAACAGTCACCTCACCTGGCTTTGTGCACAAACATCATCCAGTTACATTCATTTTCGTCCGTTGTAATGATACAGAATTCGAGGACGCCATTGTGATACATCTGCCAGCGGAAGGCCAAAAAAAAGGGAGAAGTGGTTATGGACAGGATGACTGACTAGGGCTTTCTGATCTTCCCATCAGATGATCTCATGAGCTAGGAAGAGGGAAGAGCCTCAGCTCCTCATTTTACTTGTCTACAAATCAACTTAAAAATGAGAGGAATTCCCTGATAGAACACAACTGGCTGTGACAAGAAAGATTCCAGCCAGTGCTGCCACAGGACCGCACAGGTACAGATGCAGTCTGAGCTCTTCCACCCCATCAAGGGCGGCTGGCAGGCAATGTCCCTCAGGAGCGCAGGCCCAGTCTCAGCCCGGGCCAGGTCCCCAGAAGCAGAAGCAGCTGCTGCCTTCCCAATGACTTGTGTGCACATGCATAGACCCTGGGCTAGATATCCCTGGTGCTGATACTGTAAGCCAAGGGAGCGCTTCCTGTGAGCATGCTCCCAGTGACTGACTGCGTCACTATCATAAGACCCTTTTAGAGAGGAAATTGACTGCCAAGCCCATGTACTCTCTCTCCTTTCCATGAGGCTTACAGAGAACTGCAAGGGACAGTGATGAAGGGATCTCCTAGAATCCCTCTCTCCAAAGACTTCTCCTTTTTCCATCATTTGGCTTCTACTACCCACTTGTAAAGAGACGGTGCTGGGGCGAGCAGCACAGGAAACAACATGAATTTCAGTGTCAGTAAGGGGAAAAGCAGGCCAGGGAGGGAAGCTGGAGATGGGGGGGGTAGCTCATGGCAGGGTTTGCAATGGGGTCAGGAAGGTCATGAGAAAAGGCAGGAGGGAAAGTGGGAGAAGGCAAGTGAGAGTGACCCTGTTTGCATCAGAAGCTTCCTCATCTGTGAAAAGCCTATTCAGGCTCTGCATATATGGGGTATTCTTTGACTCCAAAACAAGGTCATGGTGCGGAATAATATTTATCAATATAACCTTTTTATTTCCAACAACAACAGCAAATCTTGTTTTCGGGCGACTGCCTCAATTCAGACCAATATAATACCTGGAATCAACTACGCCCCACAGCGGGGTGCCTAAAGTTGTTCACTTTCCATACCTTCGCCTGGCTTTCACTTTGTAATACACACTCAGCTGCCGGGGCCCCAGCAGCAAAGAGAACACAAGGGGCAATCCAATGTTCCACGTGGGAGAATGACGGAAAGGCAGGGAGCCTGGCCACTTCATTTTGCTTCCACCTTTAGTAAAACTGCCTTCACAAATCTTTTTTAAAACAAGTCTTAATTTTTACGGATTATCTCTTGTTTTTACATCACCTTCATTTCTCAGTAGTTCCCTCCTCCCTACTCAGGAAGGTGTCCCTTGTAATAAAAAATCAGAGAGATGCGGAAAAAAGCAGTTCAGTTAAACTAGACGAGGAAGTGGCTGAGCCGGCCTGTAGATGTAGTACTCCATATCCACAGTCCCCGACCTCTTGAAGGAAGGGTTTGTTCAATCCTTTCAGTCATGTCCAACTCTTCGTGATCCCATTTGGGGTTTTCTTGGCAAAGATCCTGGAGTGGTTTGCCATTTCCTTCTCCAGATCATTTTACAGATGAGGAAACTGAGGCAAACAGGGTGAAGTGACTTGCCCAGGGTCAGCTAGTAAGTGTCAAGGCCAGATTGATGAGGCTTCCCGACTCCAAACCTAGTGCTCCATTCACTGCGCCACCTAGCTGCCCCTCAAGGAAGCGAGGCAGGCGCAAATAATTAAATTTTTAAAAGCAATAGAAAACGCGTACACACACCAACACCAACCTTCCAGATATGATTAGCCGCCTTGTCTGTCCAATCTGCTACTTCCATAGAGTGGCTCTGCTGGCCAATCAATGGCCCAAAGCAAGTGCGAACAGGAATGGTTTCTCCAGTCCATACACCTATCAGCAGGAAGAACCCAAGGATCAAAGATTTGAAGCCGCTCCCAAAGGTACAGGGAGAGAGGGCTGGGCACACGTGCGGAGGCTCAGCAGGGAACTTCAGAACCTCTTCCATCACACCTGACAGATGGCTAAGCCTTGTTAGTTCCTCTTGACAAACAGGGAAAAGTGATACAGAAATGAAGCAGATCTCATAAAGGACATCAGACATCCTTGACTTCTGGAGTCTGGGAGTCCAGAAACTTGACTATTCTTCAAAATGTTCAGAAACAAATCTAAGGATGTCAGCTATAGATACTTCTACTCCCACTTACTACAAAATAAAGTTCCCTTCTACACCTTGGGGGGATAATTTATGTTTATCAGCTGTTTTCTAGAAACATTTTGCAGGTTTTGAGAGGACTTGCAAAGTGGCTACTGATGACTTTAGAACCCAAATCTACTTCTTGTACTTCCTAACTTAAGTGAAATTGGGGTAAATATATTCTAGCCAGCAATTCCTTTCTTCTGTGGCGCTCAAGGCACTGCTCGAATATTTAATCTACAAAATACTCCTTGCAATTGAGGATATTTATAGTGCCATCTCCATGTTGCTAATGAATGCTGAGCCTTAATGCTAAGGGCAAACGTGCTCCTGACCTTTCAGGGGGGAATCAAGAAGACTCAGCCAGGGCAGAGTTCTTTCCTACCAACTTAGGAGAAAGTGAGTTTCCTCATAATGACTTAAACCTGAGTCACACTTAACAGCTACTCCCACCATCTCCAAATCCCATAAATATTCCTCCTGGGCTCCTGTGATCTCTCTGCAGCTCCCATCCTTACAACTTAGCAGTGGTGAGGGAGGAAGCAGGCAGGTAGCACGCTACGGGTTATGGCTCTTACCCACATCTGCCACCATGAGAGACTGGCGGAGGACGAGCTGCTTTGGGAGAGACAGCCTGGCCCGGCTCTCTATTGGGCTGTCTGGAACAAAGGTCACAGGTCCATGGTCAGGGCAATCGGAGGGGTAGGCTCGGTCACAAAGTGTGCACCCTGGAGATACAAGAGATGAGACAATTTTAACGAGGCCCAAATGGATCTTGGAACTAGGCAGGATTAGGGTCTGCCTGTTATTTAAACAATAATTTCATTAAATCTGAGCTGAGTACAAAGGTGAGTCTTATCAGAATTACCATATCAAGATTTCATATCCCCATCCATGTGACTGCAGCACATCCTTCTCCAGAGCCTGACAAGATCTTAAATTTCCTTTTTGTTTGTTTGTTTGTTTTTGGTTACGCAATGGGGTTAAGGGACTCGCCCAGGGTCACACAGCTAGTAAGTGTTATGTGTCTGAGGTCGCATTTGAACTCAGGTCCTCCTGAATCCAGAGCCGGTGCTCTGTCCACTGCGCCACCTAGCTGCCCCCTAAATTTCCTTCTAATCAACAGACACGTCCCTTGCTCAGTCTTGAGGCCAACAGTTCTCAAACTTAGAATCCCTTTACATTTTTAAAAATTGGGGATCCCAAATTAATTTACTTATTCAGTGCCATACCAATCTAACTACCAAAAATTATTTTATAGAGCTAGAAAAAATGGTAACAAAATTCACCTGGACGAACAAAAGGTCAGGAACATCAAGGGAATCAAGGAAAAAAATGAAAAGGATGATGGCCTAGCCACATCAGATCTCAAACTGTACTCAAAGTGGCAATCATCAAATCAGTCTGGTACTGGCTAAGAAACAGCATGGTGGATCAGCGAAATGGACACGTAAATGACCACTGTAATGTAGGGTTTGATACATCCAAAGATCCAAGATCTTAGAAAAAGAATTCACTATTTGACAAAAACAGCTAGGAAAACTGGAAAGCAGTTTGGCAGAAACTAGGTATAGATTAACATCTTACACCATACACCAAGATACAATCAAAACGGGCACATGATTTAGAAATAAAAGATGATATCGTACACAAATTAGGGGAGCACAGAATACTCTACTTGTCATATCTATGTATGACCAAACAAGAGATAGAGAGAGTCATGAGATGTAAAAAGGACAATTTTGGATACATTACAGTAAAAAGGGTTTGCACAAACAAAACCAATGCGGCCAAGATTAGAAGGAAAGCTGGAAACTGGGAAATATTTTTTTACAGTAAGTTTCTTTGCCGAAGGTTTTATTTCTCAAATGTATGGAGAACTGAGTCAAATTTATAAAAACAGGAGTCATTCCTCAATTGATAAATGGTCAAAGGATTGGAACAGGCAGTTTTCAGAAGAAGAAATAAAAGCCATTTATACTCAGAAGAAAAATTGCTCTAAATCACTATTTAGAGAAATGCAAGTTAAAACAACTCTGAACTACCTATCAAAGTGGCTAATGACAGAAAAGGAAGACAAGAGAGGCTGGAGGGGATGTGGAAAAACTGGGACACTAATGCACTGTTGGTGAAGTAAAAACCTGGGAAGACTGACACGAACTGATACAAAGTGAATTAAGCAGAACCAGAACACCGCATACAGCAACAGCAAATATTGTACAATGATAAACTGTGAATGATTTAGCTATTCTCGGCAATAAAGTGATCTAAGACAATTCTGAAAGGATTTATGATGAAAATGCTATCCGCCTCTAGAGAAAGAACTGATGGAGTCTGAATGCAGATGAAAGCATACTTTTCAAACTTTATTTTAACTAGGTGGTTTTTTTTTTTGGTCTGTGTTCTCTTTTGTAACATGGCTAATATGGAAATATGTTTTGCATGACTGCACATGTATAAACGTATCAAAGTGCTGGCCTTCTCAAGGAAGGGGAAGGACAGGAAGGGATTTTGGAACTCAAAAATAATTTTTAAAAGAAATGTTAAAAATTATTTTTAAATGTATTTGAGAAAAAATATAGTAAAAACATTCTTAGAATGTTAAATAAATAAAAGATGGAAACTGGGAATCCCATGTGTTTTTTTTCCTGACACAGGTTTCATCAATAGTTACCATATTAGAAATCAAAAAAGATAAAATATTCATTCCTTTAAAATAATAATGATGATGATGATAAGGGATAGCTAGGTGGCACGGTGGATAGAGCACCATCCCTGGAGTCAGGAGGACCTGAGTTCAAATTCAGCCTCAGACACTTAGTAGCTTATGCCTTGGGCAAATCATTTAATCCCAACTGCCTCCAAAAAAATTGATGATGATGATAATGATATACCCATTACATGTTAACTTAACACAGCTTTACAAATAACTACTTTCCAAAGTAAAAAAAAATTCATTGAAAAGAGTGGTACGGTTTTATATTCTTCTGGAAATCTCTTTAACGTATAGTTTTAGTCTCCTCTCTGTTTCTGCATACCATCTGTCACAATATGTTGTGGATGCAGTACATGAAGAAAATCTGGTTTCACACAGGCAGTGGACAAGGGAGGGGTATTTTAAGAAGTGCTTATACTTCCTCCTACGCTATTAATCAAATACTGGATTGAATATATGAATTGGGATCACCCTCAAATCATTTACACCCTCCCCCTGATCCCCTGTAGTGGGTCCCTCCTGCCTACAGAATAAAGTACAAGCTTATCCATGCCATCATTCAAGGCTCTCCACCACCTGGCTACACTTATTTCATACCACACGCCTTCACTGATGTATGTTTGAGCCACACTGGACTACATCACCCTCATTAACAGTCTACTCTTTCTTCTGTGCCACGTTCTTCCCAACACGTCCCTCACGCTGACCTGCTTGTTGCAATCCCCTATCTAAGACCCACCCAGGTGCCCTCCTCTGTGGCAGCTTTCCTAATCCTGACACTGTGCCATTGGACAGGGTCTCCCGGACCCTGACACTGCACGGCCTTCCCTGAACTGGTGTAATCTTTGTACACCTTCCTTGTTCCCATCCTACCCTTCAGGCCAGGGGTGGGGCCTGACCTCACTCTCCTTCAAGGGCCTTCTGCAGAGTTTTCCCTACGGAAAGTGCATTGAACTCAGTTCCAGGCCATGCCCCTAGATGTCCCACTCGGCCCGGCCTGAAGCAGCACAGGAAGCAGCTCTGGAATGTCCCCAAGGGCCTGGCAAGGCCAACTTGTTGGTGCGAGGTGACATCACAGCATGACTGACTCTGTGTCTGCAGGGTCATATTTGTCCTTAGTTCAACTACCAACGAAGTGGGAACCAGGTTCTGATGATGGACTTAAGGTTAAAACTCTGCAACCCAATGTTCCAGACGATGACGATATCTATCACAACAGCCAGCATTTCTATAGGGATTTACAGTTCACAAAGTACTCCCATCCAGGTCCCACTTAGTGTGGATAAGCTATCTCCCAAAGTGGTGGCATGTATGTGACTTCACACTATCTGAAGTTATAATCGCATAAAATACGGTGATTGCTTCCAGTCCAAGGGAAATACATGGGGCGATTTCAAGCAATGCAACCACTCCTGGGGACTCAGTATTCACACTAATCAGGACCTAGCTGTATATAATAACATAGCTCTTTATAATACTAAAATGCTATTTTACAAACATTATTCTTACAACAATTCTGGGAGGTAGGTACTAAGATTATCCCCATTTTACGGAAGAGAAAATTGAGGCAGAGAGGTAAAATGATTTGCCTAAGGCCATAAAGCCTAAGTGTCAAAGGCAGCAGCTGAACTGGGGCCTTCCCGACTTCAGTCTCAGAACTCTGTCCAGCTGGTGCCGCCACAGTGCACAGAGCACTGGAGCTGGAGTCAGGAAAAGCAGAGTTCAAATCCAGCTTTGGACGCCTAGTAGCTGTGGGACCCTCGGCAAGTCACTTCAACAGCCTGCCTCAGTTTAGAATGGGGATAATCAGCCCCTTCCTCCCAGGGCTGTGGGGAGGATCAGAAGAGCAAATAATTGTAAAGCGCTTAGTAGCTCAGTGCCCAGCACACAATGGGCGCTCCAGAAATGCTCATTCCCCGGCCTCTCAAGCTCGGCTTCTTGGGCCTCTCTTCTTCCTCACACTGACTCACTTTGCCAAAGAGGGTCCTTCTATGCTTGTTTCTTTACATTCCAACTCGAGGGCTTCTCCCAAGAACTACTGCGTCAGACTTGGAATCAGGGAATCCTGAGTTCAAATTCTACTTCAAACCCTCACTAGGTGGGTGACCTGGGCAAGCAACTTCCCCTCTGCCTCAGTTATCTCATCTGTAAAATGGGGGGCCTCCCCCCTCGGATAATGTGGCCTCAACGGCCTCTAAGGTCCCTTCCAATAGTCTACGGTTCCATGGGGATTAGTGGCGCTGAAATCATGGCAGCCAAGCCCTCTTCTCAAACAGGATTCTGATTCTAGAATTTAAAACCATTTCATGGCACGGGGCTGAGCCTGCCTACCCAGAAAAGATCAAGATTTATGTAAGTAAATGGACAGCTCACTTTCTCCTCCTACATCAAGAATGAGCTTGTACGTGACACTCTCAGGGGCCTAAGCTCCCTTCTCAGGTTCCAATATCCCGCCCCCTTGATACCCACCAGCTGTCAGACCAAGGGTGGGGAATCTGTGGCCTTCCAGATCCTTAAGTGCGGCCTTTGACTTTGGATTCAGTCAAAAGGCCACACCTGAGGACCTAAAAATGACCTTGAGGCCACAGGCTCGCCACCCCTGCGCTGGCTCTTCCTTGATCCTTTCCTTCTCTTAATCAGGCTCCTGCGGTTCCCTGGCAGGCTCCTCGGGGGCTGGGTCACTGAATGGGGTGCCTGGGTCCCCTCTGAAGATTCCTGAGGAAGGGTCAGCCCTCTTCCGAAGGAGATTCCTTTCGCAGCACTCTCAGGCATAAGTTTCTCCTCACTAAAGCTTTATAGCACAAACAACTTCGATACATTGTCTCTCATTTTATACTAAAATGCAACATGACCTCACACAGAGACTATGGACCCTGAGATGTACTTTTGGAATATGTGTGAAACCGTCCTAGGTCTTTGCTTATGTGTAAAAAGGGCAGACTGCCATTTCACTCCCTTATCACAGGAAGATATTCCTAGGGTAAATGAAACATCTGAAATAATCTCTAAGCCATTTTGAGAAGGGGGTAGGGGCTTTAACACAAAATCCAATCTGAGTTCAAGAACACATTCTGATTTCTAGACATGTTTCATGTTCTCCCACCTCCAAGCCGAGCTGTTTGCCTAAGATGGTGGGGTGATGATGCCACCGTTACCCCCATCCGCACTGGGCACACTCACAGATGGTAAACAAGGTCGCCATGTTCTCCTTGTTGGAGTTGGAGTCTTCCATCTGCAGGGATGGTGGCACAAAGGACAGGTTGTCTGAAGCCACATCTACGTGGCCCGACCCCATAGCGACCTCCTGGGTGATAGAGGACACAGCCACGGGTTCAAGGCTGAGGCCCACTTCATGCAGGGAAACAGACTCCAGGGAGGCAAGGCTGTGTGAGGTAGACAGGGCCACGCTTACGGAGTTGGTGCTCATGGCCACGGTGTGGATGGAGTCACTGAGGGCACTGTCGGGCATGCCATTGACTCGTCCGGCTATGTGATCAGTTTCCATGACCACAGGGAGTTCCAGGCCATTCCCATGAAGAGGGATCACACCCCCATGTCCCACAGTGTCTGCTGCCAAACTGTTACCAACCGAGTCCACAGATAAAGGTTCGTGGCTTCTGGAACCGTTTGGCATCTGGGAGTGTTCCCCTGCAACACCCTCCATCGTCAGCTCCTCAGCCGCCATGCCGTCTGTGGAGATGGGGCTGGTCACCCTCGAGACGCTCTCCATGGTGATGGCGGTGTCCAGGGCCACCTCGTGGCTGTCACCAGGATGGAGGCTCTGGGCCCCGTGTGCACTGACCGCACGGGAATCCATAGGGACAATGCCCGGCTCCAAGCCAACGCTGCCGCCGGGCTGATAGGGATCATTGGAGACGGCCAGCGTGGGACTGTTGTCTACACTGATGGAGTTCGGGTGGATGTACTGAGGAGGAGGTCTGTCGGCCAAATACGATAAGATGCCTGATGAAGGAAAGAGACAGGAAATGAGGAACCTAGTGGTACCCAGGCACACGCGAACGTTCTCCAGACAGCAGCACCTGTACTGACAAACACGCACAGGCTACAATTTCAGGCTACGACTTTTCCTACAAAGGTCTGGGTGATTTTTTCCAGTTTAATAAAAATAAGCTTGTTTTCCAAGGATTAATGTAAATATAAACATGAGTCTCTTCCTGTGAGACCCTTTGCTGAGAAGGGAGAATTAAAGTAGGATAAAAATGACCTCCACACCCTGCCCTCCAGCTGGCCTTGGTGGGCATTTTTATTTTTGTGCTTCCTACGCTGGGCTGCAACGAAAGACGCTGCTCTGAAGGGCAGGCCAGCCTCCAGTACGGGGTCTCCCACAGACTAAGTGCTTGATAAATGCTTGTCGACTGACCAATTGAAAGAAGGAAGACCCAGAGAAGGACATTTTTAAGCTCACATGCAACCAGGCCTGCGGTGGCCTCCCTGAAAGCACCCCTACCCCCAGCAGGCCGCGTGTTTGGCAGGAGACATTCCCGAATTCTAAAACCAGCCCAAAGTCAGCATTGCAGTGGAAGGGGGGAGGAGAGAGGCTAGCTGGGGGCTGCTCCCCACCATGCTGTCAGGAACACTCGGGCCACACTTAGGCAAAAGCACACGGCTGTACACCTGAAGGTGCAGGTTCTTCGCTTCAAACCAGTTCTTCACCATCGGTGTGTCCTGGGCCCCGCCGGTGCAGCCTCCAGGCCACTCCACTCTCAGAATCGTGTTTTTAAATGCATTTAATAAAATACACAGGATCACAAAGGAAAACAATTATACTGAAACACAGTGATGGAAATATTTTTTAAAAACAGGTTCGTGGAAGGCAGATCTCTGAGGCCCCTGTTGTAAAAGAAAAACCCTGAATAAAATGAAAGTGTTTGAGGTGGTTAGATAAGCAAAAGGAAGCCTCTGGCAGACAAAGAGACAAAGGCCCTCCCTGCCTGCGGGAGCCTGCTGCCCAGTCAGGGGGACTCACCGGGCAGAATGTGTCTGAAGTAGCTGCTCTCCAGGTGTGGGTAGGGTGGGGGGGGCAGAGGGTAGTTCCTCTCTGGTATCCCACACATCACCCCCCGATCACCAATGCCCATTGGGAGCATCAGAGACAAGGCGGAAGGCAGAGAGCTTAAGGAGGGACCAAGGTTTGGAATTGCAACTGGCAGTCCTGGGGGAAAAAAAAGGAAAAAAAGAAGACTTTCCTTAAAAAGCAAATTAAACTCCCAAATATCTTCTTGGTTAAAATCTCAGAAATTTCTTTCCATCAATAAAAATCCCACTTACCTGAAGCAGAAATAACTATACCTACTTCCTCCTGCCTAAGAGAGAGGGGGGGACTCCTGGGACAGAGCCCTGGATGTATGATCAGACCACGTCTCTGTATTTCAGGCTTTGGCATAACCATTTTTCTCTGTCAAATAAGCTTGGGTTTGATCTGGAGGGCCGGGGACAATGGCTGGGATATGGAGACCACAGGCACCAATCAAATATAGTTTTAAAAATAGGGATACGGACTGGACCCGTCAGGAACACCCTCTCCTAAAGCAGGTCAATGCCTTCTCTCCACTTTAGAATCTCAGAGAGTCCCCCAGCGCAGTGAGGAGTGACATGACTTGCCCAGGGTCGCTGAGCCTGCCTACGTCCCCCGGAGGGATTGGCACTCTGGCTGTCCTAGCTCGGAGGCCCAGCTCTGGCAGTCAGATGAAAGAGAGGCTTCCTCATTAGACATAAGTAAATAAATAACTATCCTACCTAGAGCTCTGCTTTGAAAAACGCCTGGCCTTTCCTCCTTACCAAGCGGTTCCCACAAATGATGCTACAATAAAACCGAGCACAGTCCCTGGCCCAAGCTCCAATTCCTCACTTAGGGATCTAGAGTCATGTTTTTTTAGATTTTAATGCTGGTTATACAATAACCAGTAAGAGTCAAAATGATCCTGATGATTTTAAGCGCCAATAAGCTAATTATTCAAAGATGATTCAGATACAAGTTAATGGTGAATATCCATACAATGTGATTACAAATCTTAAACTAAAACCTGACACTTTTAAGGCCTTAGAAACCCTGTAACCCCCAAATCCCTCATTCCAAAACAAGGGGAACCTGAGGCCCAGGAGGGCCATGAGTTACCTGTGGTCTCACAGGTGAATGTAAGAAGCAAGATTAGAACCCAGGTCCTCTGAGACAGTGAATGCTCTTTTCCCTCTGGGCACAAAGAGAGCGCCTCAGACACAGCACAGGTGTTCAAAGACTGTTCTGGAGTAGAATCTTGGAGTTGGAGGCGTAAGCGGGCAGTGAGTGGCACAAGGTCGCATCTCTGACCCCGAATGTGCCGACTCCAGAGGAGCACCTGGAAGCTTCAGAAGCAGAGGGTGTCCCCCCCCCCACCCGCACCACTCCAGCAGCCCCCACCTTGTCTCTGTGGCACAGCAGGAATGAAAAGCCCCTTTGCCTGATGGGAGCTGTGCTCCACTAATTCTGGAGGCTGGCTGACCACAAAGTTTTCAAGGAAGTGGAGGACTTTATACAAGTCCTCAGCACCCATGGCCTCTTCTTGAGTGAGCTCATCAGGGTGCTACAGCCAGGCACAGGAGAGAGACAGCTCCTCAAAGCTGGAGGGCCCTTGTTCTCTTCCTGTCACAGACATCATGGAGTGGGGCAGCCCTGGCCAAGGGATGGCGCCTCTAAGCCTCCTTTCTCTTCCACAAAATAGACCGGCTGATGATTCAACTGAGGCAGTCTTAAGCACCTACTGTGTGCAAGGTCCTGTGCCAGGTACTAGGGAAACAAGCAAAAAAGGATAAAGGCCTTGGCCCCAAGGAACTGACATCTCTTAGGCAGAGGAGCTTGAGAGCACGAACCACTGGGGAATCAGGAAAGGCACTATGGCAGAGGTGGCACCGGGACCAGGGAGGCCCAGGATTGTCAGCACGGGAGGGACAAGCCTGGGAACAGCCCTTCAAAGGCATGACAGTGGGAGATGGAATGCCAATTTCCCGCAGCAGCCTCTGGAAAGTGGAGGCTACAGTCCAACTGTGAAGGGTCTTCAATGCCAGGCTGGCAGGTTTGCATTTATTCCAGAAGTGAAAAGGAGCCACTGAGGACTTCTGAGTTGGGGGAACACGATCAGATGTGTGCTTTGGAAGATGATTATCCAGGCAGCCCGGCTGCTCTATGGACACATCACTGAAGCTCCCTAAGGCTCAGTTTCTAACATGGAGATGGTAACCCCTGCTTCCCAGGGCTGCTGTGACACCCAAAGAGGATAAGATTTGTAGGATACTTTGGAAGCCCAGTGGTTATTTTAGTAGCTAGGGGAAGGTGTAGTGCAGAGGGGAGAGGCGGATTTGGGTAAGAACGAGGATGGGGGTGGCCTGGGTGGAAAGGGACGGAGACACAAACTGCCATGGAGGCCAAAATGGCCAGCTTGACATCTGAATGGATCAGGGCCTGGCAGGCTTAGCGAGACGGAAGAGTCAAGGATGGCCCACAGTGCACGGAGGCCCTTGGAGGTTTCTTGGAGTACCAATGCTCTATGACTCAAAGAGATTCTATAGAGAACAACGAGGCATTGAAAAAAGAATGTTGTCATAGGACATGGGTTCAAATCTTAGCTTAGCCACTCACTTCCTGTGAGACTTTGAGTGAGGCACTTCTCTTGGCTGGGGGGCCACAGCCCCCTCCTCTGTAAAAGGAGGGCTGGACTAGATTCTAAATCAATGCCCCGTAATCAACAGAATGTGTAGAAGAGATTTTAAGCATCAGTAAATTCCACCTTCAAAATCTAAGAAGTGTGAGAACTTAAGACCCAAAGCCCTTCATTATCTAAGTAGACAGATTTTTAAAAAGGTAGTTTCTATCTGCCTGTCACCCGATCTGCTTACTCAGATCCAATGTGTAACAATGAAATTAGAGAGTTAGAGTCCGGAAGTAACAAGGACACAGGAGGGCTGGGCAGGAGAAGGAGGTGGAGGCCGCTGGCTGAAGCTGTAAGGAGCCCCTCCCCGCCTCCCTCCTGAGGACCCCAAGCCCAGGACTTCAGCCAGAAAGCCCTCATCCTGGGCAGGAGGAACCCTCTCCCCCTCACCCCATTCCTGAAAGTGCGCCACGAACTATTAGGGCATCAAGCCGTCGTGTCTGCCCTCCACCCACCCACACTCCTACAGGTTGAGGGAACCACGCAGAGCCTGACAGAGAACAGTTACGTGTCAGGACACACAACCTGCTCCTCTGGCAGAACTTCACCACTCACCTGGGGCAGGGATGGCATTGTGAGTAGGGGAGGCAGCCAGGCCGAGGTGACCTCCTGAGACTGGCAAGGCATTGCTTACCGAGGATGAAGCGAGCTGCTCCATCCCCACAGGACTCAGGTTCATCTCATTCATTCTGGGAAAGAGCACAAACAGTTGTCAACGACAGCACTGAGGCCCAGGGAACGAGGAGTCCTTCACTGGGGCTTCTTACATGGGTCCATTGGAATCAGACAGTGCTACGCCCACAGGCAGCCCACCCAGACAAGGAGAAAAACGTCATCCAAAGCTTTTCATTTGGAATATCTCTTTTCTTTCTGAAAATGGCCTTTGTGTTCAGCCAAACCATTCAATCCTACAGATGGGTTTAAAACAAAAATAAACAACCAAACTGCCAAGCCTCCTTGTGTTTAAACCAGCCTGCAAGGTCTGCGTCAGTACTTTTCCCATTGAGAGCAGAACGACATTACACAGGAAATCGTGAGCCTTCAAGTTGTTGACAAGTTAGCAGCCTCTGCATGAGGATCACCTTTGAGATCTGGATTAAGCAGGGAAGACAGTGCTGAACTGGGAGCCTGAAAGAAGGACCTGGGCTTCTGTCCTCCGGACCACCATGGGAAAGTCACTGCCCCTCTGTAGGCTCAGCTCTTTCATCTGTAAAATGGGCATAGTGACAGAAGCACGTCATGTCTGCCTCTCAGGGGTGTCACAAGGCTCTAGGGAGGGAATGTCAGGCCCTTTAAGTCAGGCACTATTGTGTCTTGCTATGCACTTTCCTCCAACATAATAACATTTCAAAGGTTCTTTGGTCTACAGACAAACACTTTGGAGAGAACTCACATACCCTAGACTAGAAATCTAGCCCGTCCACTCCACACAGTCATTAAGAAAAATGTCATTGGCATTACCTATGGTGTGGCTACAAATGAATAAACAATAAAAGGTCACCATCAGTGCCGTATCAGTTCAGAGCAGGACTAACCCGTAGCTGATTTCTCATCGGCATCGGCACCAAAGAGAGAAGGCAGCAATACCAAGAGAAGCGTCACGAGCACGAGGGACTTTCTGAGCCACTGGAAGTCACAGCAACCTTGCCTCCTACTGCAAGCACACACCAGACCTGGTGCCCAAGAGCACAAGGTCACCCCAACGAGGATTCCGTTCTACAAGTCAACAGGCTAAAATAATCGAAACAAAGGATCTCTTAAGGCTCATGAACTTTTCTCCCCAACATATCTCACAGTACCTGGGGCAGCCAAAAAGAGGAGTGGTGTAATCATACTGAGGTAGGGGGCCTATTTAAATAGTCATAGGCCAGTTAACTTCACGGCATTCCAAAGTCACAGACTTCACCCAGTCATAAATGGGTGCCCCTGGGGCTACTCTTTGACCTAGCCATACCACTACTAGGTCTGTAGGACAAAGAAATCAAAGGAAAAGAACCTGGATGTACAAAAATATTTATGGCTGCTCCTTCAGTGGTGGCAAAGAATTGGAAAGTGGGAGGATGCCCACCAACTGGGGAACGGCTGAGCGAGTTGTGGAGTATGATTGAGATGGAGGACTACTGCGATATAATAAATGATGTGCAGGATGCTCTCAGAAAAACCTGGAAAGACTGATGAACTGACGCAACAGGAAACGGGCAGAACCAGGAGAACACTGCACACAGTAACAGCAATACTGTACAATGATGAATTATGAATGACTTAACTATTCTCAGCAATCCAATGATCCGAGACAATTCTGAAGGACTTAGGAAGAAAAATACTGTCCACCCTCAGAGAAAGAACTGATGGGGTCTGAATGAAGACTGAAGCAGGCTTTTTGTTTCTTTCTTTATTATTCTTGGGCGTTTTTTGAGGGGGTCTGTGTTCTCTTTTGTAACACAGCTAATATTAGAAGTGGAATACATGACTACCCACGTATAATCTATGTCAAATTCCTTGCCTTCTCAAGGAGATGAGAGGGAAGGGAGGGAATTTAGAACTCAGAATTTTAAAAAACAAATGTTAAACATTTTTATTTCCATGTAATTCAGAAAAAAAAAATGTAATTTTTCTTCTAAAAAATCAGTGTGTGCCCTTGGACCAGGCAATAAACTATATATAAATCAGTGCAAACGCTATCCCCCCTAATGGAAAGGCAGCAAAGCCCGAGGCTTCCCAAGATCTACCCTTCCCAATACTTACTGGACAATTACTCCTGGATGTCCCATTGGAACCAACTTCAAACCTGACATGGACAATAATGAATTTGTTTTCTTTCCCCCCTGAAACATAGAACTCCTGATCTCCTAATACTAAGATACACGCCCACCACCCAACCAGCCAGTCATCCACACCCTTCTCCACGTTACCTCTGGCTCTTCCCTTTCCCATATCTACTCCATCTTACCAGGCCCCAATCCTGTCTTTCCTATGTCCACAACAGACTGACGTCCCTCCTTCCATTTACATTCCCAGGTCACTGTCCTAGTCCAAGTGCCACCTATTCCTCAATAAGAAGACTTCAAGAATTTCAGATCTGGTCTCCCTTCTCTTCCCTACAGATCCCAGCCCTCAGGCAAAACAAATCCTCCTCCTGGAGATATTAGAGACCACTCCTCTCCACAAAAGCCTTCAATGGCTTCCAACTGCCTCCTGAATCAAACCCACACTCCCTACTTCACATGGTGTTCATCTGGGGCTGCCATCTTTCCAGTTTTCTCTCATGCTGCACTAACCATTCCCCACTCTGTACCGCACACTTTAGTAAAACTGAACACCCCCACTATCTGTCCCCTATTTTCCCTATCCCTTTCACACCATTTATTTCCAGCCCTAGTCATGCCCTTCCCCATCCTACCTCTGCTTTTTAAAACCTCATTCATCCTTCCAAACCCAGTTCAAATGCCACCTCCTTCCTATGCCCTGGTCAGAAACGTTTTTCTTTTCTGAGGACCTCAAATAGGACCTTGATCAAATTCCATTTTATATTATCTTTCTTCATGTATGTAATACAGCCCCATTATTAGATTATAGGCTCTATGAGACCAGAGACCATGTGCTGGTCATGTTTTATCATCACCCTTTGAGGTCAGCACAGGACTCAGTGCCTGGGCCATAGTAAGTGCTACAGAAATGCTATCATTATTATGCTGCACTGGTTGGACGGCTTCCATGTTACAACATATCCTGTGCTAGGATATAAAACTCTCTCAGGCCAAAAAAAAAAAAAGTAAATGCTGCCCTAACTTTTGGGTATTCTGTGAGTTTAAAGTAGCCCATCCACATCAGTTTTTCACTGTCAAGCTTCCTCTGGAGGACATGACATCAGCAAGAAGGCAAGAAAGCCGACAGAATTCTAATGCCATTAGGGCTCCTGACGTAAATATGGCTGCGGCCCCTTTACTAGTATGATCACACTGGTAAAAGCCCTCAGCTCCAACTCCAGTCACAAAAACGCGCTCCTGAAGGAGGAGAGGACTAAACAACCCAGGCAGCCTTGGGCAAGAGAAGCAAAATGGGCTGTGGCCTTTCGGGCCTCCTCAGACCACAGCCTAACGGGGAGGCAGGAGACTCGGCCGATGCTGCTGGGGAGTGACACACCTAGATGGGACTACTCTTCTTGGGCAGCCAGAAGCCAAGGGCACTGAGTACTGTACGCACAGAAGCGCCCGGCATCTTCACCTGTGAAACGAGGAATTCATCTCACATTCCCATCTGGCCCACATCTGCCTTCCAGCCTGAATACCTGTTCATCGGCTGCCTTAGGTAGAAGGCATGACAGAGGCCAGACACTCCTTTGTCATCCTCTTCTCTCCTCTCCAATTGGGCTCATTCCTTCCCTTCCACAAGAGCCGCTTCTGATCCTGCCAGGTATGCACAAGCCGGGGAGTCTAGCCCTCAAACCTGTACCCTTCCCTTCACAAACATAACGTCAATTACAAACGGCTGATTTCATCACTGCCTACTTGGAAAAATCAGCCAAGTATTACGTGCTGTAAATAAGCACATCTGTCAATAAATAATTTGCTCTGTCTTCCCCCAAGAGAGGCAACAGTTACCTAAGTCAACCTCAGAAGCCAAAAGACCTGGATTCAGGTCCCTTCTTTGACACTTCCCGACTACACACCTCTGGCATTGTACAGCAGATGTCTATTTGCATTGGCAAAGGGAAGTTTGGTCCCAAACAATCCTTCCCAGTGCAAACCTTTACTTATAAGAACACAGATCTAGTGGAAAGGGCCCCAGATAAGGAAACTAAGGCACAGAGAGGATTAATAACTTGTCTAGAAGCATACAACTAGTAAATGACGTACTTGAACCCAGCTCTGCCTACCCCCAAATCCAGGATCTTATCTGCTAAATCAGAGACGTCAAACATAGCAAACAACCAGCTTAAAATGGAATTGGAAAATATAACAAAATAACAAAATAAAGATATGAAGGAACCCAATGTCAATGTGTGGTTTCCTTATGTTCAGTTTGGAAGTGTCTGACACCAGCTTTCCTCCCTCAAAGACAACTTGGTTAAGAAGAAGCCTTATAAATCCTGAAACTTTGTACCACCGATTCCTTGGTACTACAGTGAAAGCTTAACTCATTAGCATGAAGTGTTCACACCAGCACTTTCTTTATTGCAAATCAAGCCAGACCCCATGGAGGCAAAGGGGAAAGTTATGCCATATGGTAACAACAAAAACACAAGATAGAAACAACAAGATCTAAATTTGGCTGAAAAAAGTGTCCTATGGAGAAAAAAATGAAGAATGAAAAAAATGTGCCACGGGGGAAAATTTTAGGGAGAAATTTAGAAAGAATGAAAGAAATATTCTGTGGAATTGGGATGAAAGGGTTAAAAATGTAAGACAAATGCACCAGGGTCTAAGGAGAAGGCTTCCCGAATTCCGCCCTTCAGTTCTTGCAAAGGGGCCGGGAATCCCGAGGAGCGGGAGGCCTGACCCCCGGCCCGGCCGTGCCCTCGCCAGGTGTGCCGGCGTGACTTGGGCAAGTACGCGGAAAAGTGAGGGCACTGGACCAGGAGACGGCTAAGGTCGGACGTCCCCGGATACCGATCAAACGACCCCAGCCCCTAGAGCTGGGAGGAGCGACCCCCAGCCCGGCGGCTCGCCGGGAGCCCCGAGGACCCCCCAGCTGCGCCTCAGACAAAAGGCTCGAGGGGTCGCCCGCGCCCCGACCCTCAGCATCCTTGGGGGGTCGGCGGGGGGGGGTGCCCGCTTGGGGGGCGGGGTCCCGGGCTCACCTGGGATGCATCGGCTCGGCGCCAGGTGTCAGCCCGGCGGGCGGGGGGAAGGGTCAGGGCACCTGGACCCTCGGCATCGCCCTCGGGGGGCTCCGGCACTCCAGCCCCCCGAGGGAGGGGGCGCTCAGTCTTCGCGGGGCCCCCGGCAGCGCATCCCCGGCCTCCGCGGGGAAGCCTGGGGCCGGATCCTGCGGGTGAGAGAAGGGGAACGCGGCTGAGCTGCGCCGGCCACGCCCCCTCCCCTCCCCTGGACACACCCCCCCTTTTTTTTAAAGCTAACTTTGCTCGCGCATCCTCCGGCCCCCACCGGGGCGGGAGGGCCACGGGTGCGCATGCGCAGCAAGAGAGCGCGCATAGCCAATGCTCCGCGGCTGCGGCGGCTCCTCCCCGAGCTCGGCCCATTCCCCGCGCACGCACAGACCAGCGTCAGGGGAGGAGCACGAGTGCCAGTTCCGCTTTGTTCCCCGGCCCGCGGACCACTGGTGAAAACCCCGCCTCCTCGCTACACTCTCCACCCCGCCTACGCGCGCACGCGCACCACTTGCCGCCCCTCCCCCAACATACGGAGACCGGGAACCTACCCTTCCCCCGCGAGCCCAACACCTCCTACCCTCAAGGCCCCCCCCAACCTCCACCCTCCCCTCGGGCCGCACTCGCCAAAGCGCCTTTCTGCCACCGCCTCTTCCGTCTCCGCTTCTCTCAAACCTTCCCCTCACCCCCTCCCGTAGTTCCCCCCAACCCCAAACTGCCGTTCTGCTCTACCGCCCCCCCATCCCCTTCTGCGCGTGCGCACCGAAGGGCCCCCTGGGGGAGCGGCGCGCGGCGAGGGACCCCGGGGGAAGAAGAGATAGAGACAGCGTGAAGGAATCGAGCACTGAGTCATCGAACCGCGGTTGCTAAGCGACGGAGGCGGGTGTAAGGGTCTGGAACTTGAGATGGTTGGTCCCACAGCAGCTCAGCTTTCTCCCTCCTGCAGCGCAGTCAGCCCGAGGCTGGGCTCCCCCCCCCGCATGCGCAGTGTATGTCTGAATGCCGGCAAGACCACGTGTATGGTGTGCCAGCCACGAGGGACCATGGAGCCTAGAACTGAGAATGGCGAAGCTAGGAAGAACCAGGAACAAGGAATGTCAGGGCCGGGAGGGAACCTAGAACAGGGAAGTCAGGGCCGGGAGGGAACTTAGCATAGGGAAGTCAGGGCTGGGAGGGCCCTTAGAACAGGGACATCAGGACTGGGAGGGAACTTAGAACGGGGAAGTCAGGGCTGGGAGGAATTTAGAACAGGGAAGTCAGGGCTGGGAGGGAACTTAGAACAGGGAATGTTAGGGCTGGGAGGGAACTTAGAACGGGGAAGTCAGGGCTGGGAGGGCCCTTAGAACAGAGACATCAGGGCTGGGAAGGGCCTTAGAACAGAGACAGCAGGGCTGGGAGGGGCCTTAGAACAGAGACATCAGGGCTGGGAGGGGCCTTAGAACAGGGAATGTTAGGGCTGGAATGGAACTTAGAACAGGGAAGTCAGGACTGGAAGGGCCCTTAGAACAGGGACATCAGGACTGGGAGGGAACTTAGAAACAGGGAAGTCAGGGCTGGGAGGGAAGTTAGAACAGGGAATGTCAGCACACAGGATGGTACCTTTGCACTTAGAGAACCTGGATTAGAATCCCTGCTCATCTCTTCTACGTATTCCCCGTGTGACCTTATGGAAGCCCCTTCAGCTCTATGGGCCTCAGTAACTAATGGGCCAGAAGACTAGACGTGGCCAAAGACGGTACTTTTCTAATAACATGGGATGGTATAATCACCATTATTGCATGTGTTAGTAAACTATGAGTTGGGAATATGGTTTGGTAGATAGAGTGGGGGCCCTTGAGTCCGGGGGTCAGACCCGGCCTCTGACAAGTATTTTCTGGCTGTGTGACTGTGGGGTCACCCCCCCTCTAAGCCTCAGTTTACACATCTGTACAATGGGTTATAGAATCCCTACTCCATAGTGGTGTTGTGTTACTGTAACAATGAACCAGCCCGGACTGTCAGGCGGCTGACATTCTAAGGGGTGGGGGTGGGGTTACCGCCTGTGCACAGACTATAATGCAGAAGATAATTGGAGGAGAGAAAGACCGCTAACCAGGAGGGGCATCCTGGGATGAACGCTTTGGAGCTGGAAGGGGTTTTAAAAGAGGAAACTGATCCCCAGAATGCCTGAGTTAACTCGGGGCAGTGGCTGGTAGGGCTAACTGGGATTCAAACCTAGGTCCAGAAAGGTTTTCCTTGAAGAGAGGGCACATGGGGGCTTAATCTTGAAGGAGAGTCAGAATCCCAAGCATAGGGTTGAGCGGGGCATGCCCTCCAGGCAGGGGGGCCCTCAGACTGGCTGGGGAGAGATTGCAGTGCCTGGCCACAGAGGCTGTGTTGTACCTGGGGCCAGCTCAGGGCCACTGAGGTCTGGAAGCAGGGGCCAGGCCTTGGCCACAGGGCGAGGAATTTGATGGCAGTGTGGAACCCTGATGGATTGGGAAGGGGAGGGAAGGGGAACAAGGGGAAATGATGGTCCTAACTGGTGTGGAACCATGTGGAACAGAGGGAAGAAGAGGAAACAGTGAAAGACTCAGCCACTTATTACATGTGGAGGTGAGAGAGTAGAAGAGGTGGGGTTGACGCCGGGGATGCAAACCTCAGTGAGTGGGAGGATAGTGGATGGTTTGGAGGGGAACAAGGTGATGTCTTCTGTCTTTACCTTGTTGAAGCTGAGATGGCTCTGGGACATCCAGAAAGAGATACCCATCGGGCAACTGATGGTGCCTGACTTTTGGAGCTTGGAGAGGGGGGAGGACTGGGGGGTCTTCATGCTGCTGAGTCTTGAGCCCACTCCAAAACTTCAATTCCACCAGCATTGACTCAGTGACTGCTTACTGCAAGGCACTGTATTAGGAGCTAGGGAACCAAGACGGAAGGAGTCCCAGCCGTCAAGATGCTTACAAACCCTGGGAACTGATGAGATCTCTAAGAAAGTAAGTGTGTGTGTGTAGAGAGAGTGTATATATATATAGAGAGAGATAGAGACAGTGAAGGAGGGAGGGGAGAGACAGGAGAGAATATGTGTGTGTATGTATGTGTGTGTATATATATATAGAGAGAGAGAGAGAGAGGGAGAGAGAGAGAGGGAGAGAGGTGTGTCTACGGACAGATCAAGAAAACTGTACTAAGGGAGCCAGAGAAAAGAGAATGACCTCATGAAGGAAACTGAGAAGGTGCACCCCAACAGGTGGAGGGAGAGCCAGAAGAGAACACAGACTCCCACGCTTTCTGAAGTGGAAGATCTCTGGCCATCCAATTCAGCCCCTCTGTGACATACCAAATATGGTCATGCAGCTTCTGCCTGAAGACCCCCCCTCCAGAAGTGGGGCATTTCTGCTCCATGCAGTCAGCTTACGCTTTCTGACAGCTCTGATTGTGAGCTCTGTACAACAGATCTAAATGTGTCTCTTCACATCTTCCACCTACGGCTCTCAGCTCTGCCCTCTTGGGCCAAGCAGCACAAGTGGAATCGCCCTTCCATGTACCACGTCTCCACTTGCCTTCCCTTCTCCTGCCTGAAGAAACGCCCCAATGACTGTCATATGGTATGATCTTCAGGCCCTTCCTAGAACTGGTTCCCCTTCACAGGACACCTCCATCATTCATATCTTCCCAAGTATGTGTTCCCCAGACTGAACCCAGTCTTCCAGATAGGGCTTACCGGAGAGTGAAGTGGAGTGTTAACTTTGAGGCGGCAAGGGGGCACCGTGGATTGAGCCCTTGGCCTGGAATCAGCAAGTCCAACCTCACACACAGTTCTGTGACCCTGAACAGGTTGGGTGGGTTGGGGTGGTTGGGGAGGGAAAGGGTTCCTCCCCCAGACTTCACATTAAGGTAGAGTATCTAAAAGGAGAAGCCATCACAAACACAGGATTTGTGCGTGCGTTTTATGTCCGTGTAGTTTGTGAGTGTTCACAGGCATTTTTTAGATGTGGCTGAAGTAGAAGCAAGGATGGATATCTCTGGAGTCACCTCTGCTCATCCTCCTTTAAGGGAGGCTTTGACAGGAGGGGAGTAGGAGACTGGGGCCACAAAGCTAGCTACTCTGCTGTCCTCAGAGAGGGGCCGCTGGGCTAGAATTATAGCTATCTATCCCTGCCCTCCAAATACAGTTAGTCTAAGGAAAGTAAGTTTGAGGTTCAAGCCACTCTCCTTATCATTAGCCTTTAACGGGGGGAGGAGGTAGCGGGAAGGGGCCACCTTCAGTCGTCCTGATCTGTGTCTGGCCACTGGACCCAGACAGCTCTGTAGGAGAGAGTGAGGCTGGTGATTTTGCACAGCCCTGCCTCGCTGTAATCCAGTTCACCTACGAGTGACGGCATCACCTCCCTGATGTCATGGTCCTCTTCGAGAATGAAGGACAGACAGCAAGAGCGAGAGTGCCGATGTCACTTGACCTGACCAAGAGCACACAACTCTCTAGTCTTTACCATATATTTCTTTCCGTGCAGTCTAAAGTTGCATCATCTTAAAAAAAAAGTTTTTATTACAAAATTAACAAATGTGAACATTTAAATATGCAGATCAAGAAAGGAGGATTGTATAGGAATCTGTAAACTTGTGTTGTATAGTTTTTTAAAGCCTGCATTACATTTAACATCCTGAAAACCAAACTGCCCAACTCGTCTGTATCTTCTGAACTTCCCTGAATATTTTTTGTTTTATTGATGCGCTTTTCTTTTGTTCTTTTCTTTGCATTCTTTACCCACCAAATCCCCTGCCCCGATAGAAACCCTCCCTTATAAATACAGAGAAGGATCATCAAGGAAAATAAATTCATACTTTGGGCATGCCTGAAAATGTATGTCTCATCCCGCATCTCTCATCCACCATCTCTCAAGACTAGGCAGCACACATTTTTTGTATGTGAATACACATACATTTGTGAAAGAAATCCAGGGCTAAGGACATGATATCATTCTGTTTTTCAAAATTTCCCTATATGTGGCTCCTACAAAAAGATTTCTATTGGATCCATCCAACTCTAGCCACAACAGTCATATCATCCTTGAACACCCAGATCTCATTCTTATGAGGCCACTCAAAAAGGCAGGAAAAGACAGCTCTTAGTAGCCGAGATTTACCCAGCTTGCAAAGGGCTGGTTTGTGAAACACTTTCCATAAATTATCTTACTTGATCCTCACTACAAACTTATAAAGTAGGCACTCATTCCTATTTTTCAGAGGAGCAAGCTGAAGTAATTAAGTCCCTTGTATGTATTGTGGACTGCAAGTTGAGTGTGTCAAGAGCATGATACAACTGTGAAGAAACCAAATGCAGTCTTAGGATACATTGAGGAAGGAATGACTTCTAGGACTGGATAGACCCAACATGCTGTGACCTGGGAAGCCCAACGAAGGGTCATCCAACCATACATGGAGACTGTAGAAGAAGGTGACCGGAGTGGGGAAGGGCCTTGAGATCATGCCATACAAAGATCACTTAAAGGAACTGGAAGTGTTTAACGTGGATGAGAAGAAAATCATCACAGACATAGTCATTGTTTTCAAGTCTTTGAAAAGCCATCCTGTGGGAGAAAGATTAGATACGTCCTGTTTGGCCCCTGAGAACAGAACTAGGGCCGACATGTTTCAGAGAGACAAACTAATGTTTAACGTCAGCATGAGCATCCTAACAGTTAAGTGAGATAGGCTGCCTTGGGTGGCAGAGGGCTCCCCCTCCCTGGAGGTCTTTTATCAAAGGTTGGACGACCACTTGTTGGGTAAACTATAGATGACATTCTTTTCTAGGTAGGGGAGATGGTCACAGAGGCCCTTCCCAACCTTGTACCTCATAGACAGGCAAGGGAATGTCACCTGGACCTCACGACTATTAATATTCAATTTTAGGTTTCCATAGCACTGAAGTTTTTTTTAATAACACAATACCACTGCTATGTCTATATCCCAAAGAGAGTGAAGAAAAAGGAAAAGAACCTATATGTTCAAAAATATTTATAACAGCCATTCTTGTGATGGCAAAGAATTGGAAATTGAAGAGAGGTCCATCGATTGGAGAATGGTTCAACAAACTGTGATGGACAATTGTGATGGAATATTACTGTGCTGTAAGAAACGATGAGGATGATGGTTTCAGTGAAACCTGGGAAGACTTACATGAACTGACGCAGAGTGAAGTGAGCAG